GCGACGCGAGTCATGATCAGTCTACAATGGTTCCAGACATGAAGTGAAAGAGGTCATGGGAGAAATGGCCTTCCAGAGTAGAGTGGTGAGGGGTCAGGCCGACGTGGCAGGACAGGACACATGGGGGGAAGTGTGGGCACAGGTTTTCAAACCTCTCAGGGCTGGAACTAGGCAGGAAGGGAGGAAAGGCAGCCGCAGGTGCAGGTCTTGCACTGGAAAGTCTGGGAAGATTTTACAAATAGAGCCTTAACCACAGCCTACTACTGTCAGGAAACCCACACAGACACCAGACATCCTCTCAATGCCCAAAGACTCTGAGCAAGAGTTTTGTTTTTTAGTTTCACTTTTTCTTTAAAATACTACTCAAACAGGCAACAAATATTTGAGTGCCTGCTAGAAGCCAGACTTCATAGAGTATAAAAGCTCCAGGGGTAGAAAGTGATTCGTGGCTTCCCTGAGGTGCCACATGGATCAGAGACCACCAACAGCATGGGAAGCATCTCCAAGTGGCACCTCGGGCTGCATGGCAGCTGGGCCCGAGGACACTCTTACAGTGTCCTTTCTCCATTTCTCCTCAGGAGTTGCTGGTGAACCAGGTCCTCAGGGCCCACCGGGTGTCCCAGGGTCTGTGGGTCCCAAAGGTAAGACAAGTGTTCTGCACTGTATCCAAGTTAGCCAAAGAGCGGCCATATCCAGGGTGGGTCACTGAGGAGGAGGCCTGGGGTCCCGCTGACCCTAGTCCACTACCCCGGCCACAGTGTGAAGCCGTCTGGTCAGCCCTCCTCCCTGGCTCTGCTCCAGCCCAAATGACTTGCTCTGACCAGGAGGGAGCAGGGGTCTCTCGATCCCACCCACCTGCAGCCTTGTCTCTATGGAGGACATTGCTCTGGGCCCACTCCAGAGCAGCTGACTCGGGTCCTGGCAAGAGCTTCCGTGCACAGCCCTCACCCAGAAGTGAGCTCCCACCTGCCTGCCTTCATCCCGGGGTTCCATATCTCCCCGCACCCGCAACCTCTGTAATTCTTGTCTCAACCTTCTTCTCAGGTTCCAGTGGCTCTCCCGGCCCCCAGGGACCCCCAGGTCAGTGAGCTGCTTCTTATAAACAGGCAGTATCTGGGGGGCAGAGAAGGAGATATTAAAAGGAGAAGCACCAGTTTTAAAGTGAAAGAAGCAATTACAAAGAGAGCTTCTGGGAGACACAGAACTCATTTGTGGTGGTCTGGAGGCTGAGGACGGGCACCCCAGTGGGTCCTGTCCAGACGTTCTGACCTGGCCTAGGGCCGAGCCCCTCACAGCAGCTTTAGCCACAGGAATTCCCACCCTGCCTTCACCTGAGCAGGTGCCTGCCTTTGCCTGTCCCCTGTGGATCACAGAGTTTGTCCTCATGATGTTGAGATTCTCAAGATGTTGAGAATCTTTTTTTTTTTTTTTTATTTTTAGGTTTTTTTTTTTTTTTTTTTTTGCTATAGGGCACATGTGCTCACCGGACAGACACAGACAGACAGAGAGAGACAGAGAGACAGAAAGCGAGAGATTATTCCCCAGGGGGGATGGCCATGCCACAATCCCTTCTCCTCCATTCTCCTCTCGAGATCTTGGGCACGCACGCACACACGCCCGGCGTGAGTTTTAAGCCACCGGGTCCAGGACATGAACCACGGTCGACCATATGGGAGTCCAGTGCCCTTAACCACCACACCACCTGCCGGCCCCAAGATGTTGAGAATCTTGAGCTGCAGCCAGTGTCTCTGCAAAGGCGTTCTGATGCCAGGGCTTGGTGATGGACAGGGCATGGAAACTGGGCTAGGATGATTTAGCAAGGATATGAGGAGTCCGTAGAAAATAGCCCTTGATTTTTATTCCAGGAGTGTGTGCACGTGTGTGTGTGTGCACATGTGTGCACCTGTGCGGCACATGTGCCTGTGCATGTGCACACATGCACACCTGTGTGGTACGTGTGTGTGCACGCATGCACGCCTGTGTGATGCATGTGCATGTGTGTGTGGTGTGTGTGTGTTGTCCTTCCCAAAGCTCAGGACACTCACCCACCTGCATGATCTCCTCTGCCGGGCAGGCTCCATGGGTCTCCAAGGGCTCCGAGGTGAAGTGGGACTTCCTGGTGTCAAAGGTAAGCTGAGGGGGGAGGTATGGGGAGACAGGGAGGGCCTGATGGACACACCCCTGAGCCCCTGCAGGCTGACAGGTGTGGGAGGGGAAGTCGAGGTTAGGAAGGGTGGAAACTATCATCAGAGACAGTGCCTCTTCCTGGTCATCCCCTGCAGGACTCTTTACACCAAGGTGTCCATGTCCTTTTCAGGTGACAAAGGACCTATGGGACCACCAGGACCTAAAGGTACATTGCCCCCACTGCCGTTCTGTCATCACAATAGCCTCCCCGCCTCTGAGCTCCAGATGTGACCTCCGCCGCCAGGAGACAGGAAGAACAAGCATGACCCTGCTCCCGACCTCTGGGACTGAGGCCAATCTGAGAGCTCATTCCAGTCTAACCTCCAGATAAGGAAACAGAGGCGCCATAAGGGAGTAGAGCGCCAGTGTCACTTGCTTTGCTGTGGTCGAGTGGTCCTCAGGGTGGGGAGGATGCAGCATTCTGAGGTGTCTGTCCCCTAGTCTGGGCCTCCCTGTGCCCACAGCACCCATCTCTGCAAAGCAGGGCCTGGGGGTCTGTGTGGGCGGGACCTGGTGCTGCAGGACAGCGATGACGCTCCTTCGCTGCATTAATGCCAGGGCCTGGCGCTCTGCTGACAGGAGCTTACGAGCACCATGAGGACTGCTCCGCAGCCCGGAGACCCTGTTACTGGGTGCAGCTGCTTTCCTTGCTTGCAACTGATGCTTCCCCACCCTGTGTTTTTTTTTAGGTGACCAGGGTGAGAAGGGACCCCGAGGCCTCACAGGTCAGTCCCGTGACTGTTGTAAATCCATCCACCAGAGTGAGGTGGCGGGCGAGGGGCGGGGTGCGGGGTTGGGGAATACAGATGTACGAGGCAGAATCTGTCTAAAAACCTTCAGGCCACTTGGGATCTAGGAAAAGCACAAAGCCTGATAAAATAAACCCCTCCGTGGAGGATAAGCAAGCGTCAAAATGTATCGTCCAAACAGTAACTGTTAGGGCAGAAAACAGGGTTGAGGGTTGTGGCTGATACTTCTGGAGAATCCAGTTGGGGTAATGTAGCTCTTCCCAAAGTAGCAGAAAGTTTGCACTGCTTGTACCCTCCCAGCCACTCACCTCCTGCCAACGTCCTTCCCTAAAAAGGAAGTCCATAATAATATTGTTGGGGTAGCGTTCTGTTTCCAAGGTAGTAACTCACACCATGCTCCTTCAGACCTAGTGTGGTTCTGGGTCTGTCTGTGCCTGCTGCCCCGGGAAGCCAGGTAGTCCTGACCTTGGAACCAAAGCAGACGTGCTTCCCGGGCCTCTGGCTGAGGAGGAGGCAGGGTTTGGCTGGGGCAGGGAGGAGGGGAGCATGCTGTCATCGAGGAGGCACACGTAGCTTGCCAGCCTCTGACCAGTGAGTCCTCTGTTCTTTGCAGGCGAGCCTGGCATGAGAGGTTTACCTGGTGCTGTGGGCGAGCCCGGAGCTAAAGGAGCAATGGGTAAGTGTCCCAAAGGAGCGGTGCATGGGTCCGCCCCCTGGCAGGGGTCATCACAGCCTAGGGAGGTCCTGCTCCTAGAGCTGCCTCTCCTGCTCCTCTCCCCACTGCCCACCCCAGTAAAGCCTCCCGTTATGGGTCACTTCTGGGTCTGGACCTCCCTCCTGGGGCTCAGAGAGTGGCAGCTGTCTCTGTGGGTTTCTCATTGCTCTTGGGAGAGTTCTGCACCCTGCCCTACCTGTAAGCTCCCCAGTGCCCCACAGAGGACACATGCGAGCGTTGATGTCCTCTGGACCCCCTGATATTCCAGGCAGAGCTGGACACTCCAGGACTAGCTCACAGCCAGATGAAAGTTCTCCTCCCTTTGCTGACCCTTACTGAGGTGCCTGGCAGGCAGGCCGTGCAAAGTGCTGAGGGTCCAGGCTCAGCATGAAACCCTGGGAGGGTTCGGGCTCCAGTTGTTAGCAATGCCGATCCTATGCAGGGCACTGGGCTAGAAGTGAGAAACTTGACTTCCCTGGTGGGGGCAGGGAAATAAGGTGACATTAAGGTGCATGAGGTGACAGGAAAGTGCCACGCAAGGTACAGGTGCCTATGAGGATATCACAGAAGGAGAAACTTCTCCCAACCAGAAAGATGGAGGAGGCAGCATTTTATGTGGTTCTAAAAAGTTAGAAAGGGGACCAGCAGATGGCATAACGGTTACGTCGCTGGACTCCCACATAGTCGACCACAGTTCGAGTCCCGGACCCAGGAGCTTAAACTCTTGCCAGGCATCTGTGCATGCATGCCCAAAATCCTGAGAGGAGAATGGAGGAGAAGGGATTGTGGCGTGGCCTTCCCCCCTGGGGAGTGATTTCTCGCTTTCTGTCTCTCTGGCGCATACACCCTATAAAAAAAATCTCTCTTAAAAAAATTAAAAATTAGGAAGATTTTAATTATGGCAGTTTGAAAACCTCTGTCCACGCGGAGATGGCAACATGGGTGAGGATAGAGTTATGGCAGTGCCTAGGTCAGGGGAGATAGGAACTTGGAGGGTCTTGATTAATGGGGAGATAGTTGTTGAGCATCTAGGTTCTCAAAACGTGATGAAGGGCCGCTGAGCAGTTCTCAGCAGTAAGATACACTTGGTTTAGAAGAGGGCAGGGGGTCAGCAGAACCAGAGGTGCAGCAGGGACAGGCCTTCTCCTGCGGTTGACGCCACAGGAAGGCTGTGCGGGCCCCAGCCTAGGAGATGCCATGGTGAAGCTGTCGGGGCAGGAGAGGGAGGGAGTCACAGAAATTGCTCTGGGAGTAGCTGACCAACCCTGCTTTTGCTCTGCCAGGTCCTGCTGGCCCTGATGGACAACAAGGCCTGAGAGGTGGGTCACTGATCTGCAGTCCTCGCTGTCACCCCCTGCCCTTGCCTTCCACTCCCTGCCCTACCTTTGTCACCACAGATAGCCCCAGTTCTTTTAATCATCATGGCCCAAGGACACAGAGCATGTGGAGTCCCGCGAGGGCCCGTTCTTGCTCCCCTCTCCTTCTGCATTTGCCAAGACAGTCAGGGAACCCTCAAGGAACCACCCTTTCAGACAGGCCAGCAGTTCAGCTCTACTGAAAGCAAACTGTTTCCATGTTGGTCGTGCTCTCTCTAGGTGAACAAGGTCTCATGGGGATGCCTGGAACCCGTGGCCCACCAGGACCTTCTGGAGATCCAGGAAAGCCAGGTAACAGAACAGGGATGGTCCTTCTCAATGTGTGTGTGTGTGTGAGTGTGTGTGTGTGTGTGTGTGTGTGCATGTGCACAATGACACACACACATGCCTCACCCGTTTTCCACCAGCAGCTCAGTGGGGAACTCACAGCTGTTAGGCTATGCCGTGCAGTGGCTCTGGGCCTTGGCATCCCCAAGTCACCAAATCTGGCAATAGAACAGAGGGGTTACCAGCTGAATGGAAGGAGTTTTAGCAAGGGGCAAGGACTCTCGAAATCGCAGATGTGACCATCAGCTCTCTATCTTGCACCTTTGAGACCCCCCCTTGTCCTCTCTCAGGGCTGTTCCCAGGGCCTCTCCAATACCCACCAAGAGGGGAGCCATGAGTAGGGGCCAGCAAGCCAAACCCAGCCAGGAAAGCTGTGTGGTGGAGGCGTTCTGTAAGGGCTCAGAGGGGAGCCTGAGAGGAGGGAGCCTAGGGCAATTTGGGGGGCTGTGAGTATGTGAGCATTCTGGGATCCTGGCTCTCCCCGGGTTCCAAGAGGGTCTGTGAACCCAGGTAGGCTCCATTTTCACCCTGTGGAGTAGTGGGTCACTTCACTGCAGAGCCGAAAGAATTGCTCTTTGTCGAGGGCTGGGAGGACCCAGAGTCTGTCTTCTTCATGTGGAGTCGTCCTCTTGCACGCATTGACCCCTCCAAGCTCTGTCTACCTGTCCTGCAGGTGACCGTGTGGCTCCTCGGGGACAGCCCTCAGCCCTTGACTCCCTCTCATATCTCGTTTTCTGCAGGTCTCACAGGACCTCAAGGACCTCAGGGTGAGTCGTCAGATCACTTCTACCTGCTAAGCCTCCCCCCTCCTCCTGGGACAGCCGCTTCAGCCAAAGCTCTCTCCCCAGTCATCTGAGAGTGTCCTTCTACCTCCAGCTCCCCAACTCCAGCATGCATGAGCTCAAGTCCTTCCACTGCAAGTCTTGAGAAGCACCTTAGAAAGGGAAAATGCATAGAACACTCTAGAACGCCATTCTGGTAGAGATGAGGTTAGATGGTGTGCCCATTCTGCCTGCCCGTGCCCTCTCTCCTCTAGTACAGGAATCCCAAGAGGAAGCTCCAAGCCCGTAGGGGAGTTCTGCTAGCCAGGAGTTCAGTTGGCACCCCCAGAGGCCCACATTCCCACAGCACGGCGGGGAGTGGACATCCCCCTCATCCAGGAGGCACAGTTTTTCTGGGACAACCATCCTATGGTTGGACCACTGCGCACCCATTTGGATGTGAGAAATTGTCACCACACCCAGCCTCTTGACTCTGGAAGGAAATAAGGCGAAAATTAAAAATGAAATCAAGAAACAAATTCAATGCACAGTGCCCATTTCGATTGCTCTCTGGTGAAGAGCTCAGCAGTTGAAGGCAAGGAAAGTGTCACTGGCTTAACTTCAGGAAGCCCAGCCTCTACTCTGTGGGGATGAGGCAGCTTCACAGGTGCCAGGGTGGCTCAGAGCCCAGAGGGACTGGAATCCCCCGAAAGTTGAACCCATGGGCCTCTGTCTGCCTCAGGCACAGCAGTTGCCCGATTTCCCAGGCAGGGACAAAGGCTCCTAGCAAAGGGCTGGCTGGGCTAAAGGAGAAGGCAGGGGTCTCGGCGTTTCTCAGTGACTGGGGTTGCGCTGGGTGACAGAGCGCTAGTTATGAGCTAGGCTGTCTGGGATCGCTGGGTCTTCAAGATCCTGACTTGCTTGTTTCTAATCACATCAGGAGTTCCCGGTACCCCCGGCCGCCCAGGGGCTAAAGGTAAGTGGGATTTTCCAAATGGGATGCTCTTTACCTTCACTGGCCATTTTTGT